TGGGACCTCCCTGACCAATTTGGTAACATTAGCATGTCTCTCTGGGCCTTGCCAAATACTGACCTGTCTCAAAAGTTGTGTTGATCGCTTATCAAGGTCATTCATCAGTAAATCCCTGATTGTAAATCATCTTAGCATAGAAAAGCCAAGTGACAACATTTCCTGTCCTTGCCCTTTCTCCCCTGATCTGGAAATTGTGTTGCAGACATTTGGGTTGGGTTGCTATGCCCTCGCATTGCTTATTTATAAGCTGGATTATGATGTTCATTTATTAACTTGGTTTTAGACTCATTTTAGTTTTAGTTTGTGCTTCCAAACTTGTAGCAGTTAGGGACTAGCAAGAGCAAAGAGGAATCTGTTATGAACCTGACTGCACCATGCACATTTCCACTACAAGGCTGCCTCCTGTATCATCAGCTGGAAAGGCTCTTCCCCCAGATCCTTGCATAGCTTTCTCCTTTGCCTGCCTCAGTTCTCTGCTAATGGATCCTCTTCTCCGTGGGGCCTTTCCAGACTATTTATTCTCATATCCCTCTGGTTTTCCCCAATTATCGCCATCTGACATCTCTCTTACTTACCCCATCTCTTTTCCCCAACTAGAATGTAGGCTCTGTAAAGGCAAAAAATTTTGTGTGTTTTGTTTACTGCTTTATCCTAAATACCTAATACCTAAATACCTATGCTTGGCACATAGTAGGTACTTAGTAATTGTTGAAGGAAAGCATGAACATGGTAAGTTTTCTCAGTTTATGATAATTAAGAAGGCAGAGAAGATGCATAGCAATTTTTGCCAGATACGTCACATGGGTCTTCCCAGGTATTTGTCACAATGCTGTGAGATACACTCATCACCCCATTTTACAGATTAGGAAACTGAAGTTAAAATGGCTTCCATCAAAACCTGCTCAATGTAGAGCTATGGTGTTAGCCCAGGCAGCTGTTCACAACACTTTTCAATTGACCGTCTTTCCTGCTGCCTTCCACTTGGTGTGTACCCACACAGTAGACTGGACATGTTTTAGTTAACGTGTAAAAAGTTGTGAAAAGAAGTAAGAATCAGAATCAATATTGCTGTGGCAGGTGTAGAATACAGTAGCTTGGAGAGTGGCCGTGAAGCCAGATTGCCAAGACTTCTGGTTTGGCCACTTGTATGACCTGAGGCAAGTTACTCGCTGCCTCAGCACCTCAGCTTCCCCATCTGAAAAATGGGAATGAAAATAGTTCCTAACTCTTAGGCTTATTATGAGGAATAAATGAGCTATTATAGGTAAAGCCTTTAGAGCAAGGGTTGGCACATACTAAGCACATATATGTGTCAGCTATTATTACCATACAGCCTTTAGTTACCAAAACACACACACACACACACACACACACAAACAACCCTCAAATTGTATAAAAGGTTGTTGTTGTTATTTGCCATCGAGTCGGCCCTGACTCATAGTGACCCTTCCTTGGGTTTCTGAGGCAGTATCACTACGGAAGTAGGATTGCCCAACCTT